GAACTGCAGGAGATTGTCTTGACCATGTCTACATGCCTAAATGCACTGAGTTGCCGCCATGTGATTGGCTGATTAGAAATTAAGTGTTAATGAGCAGTTGGACGGGTGTACCTAATAAAGTGGCCGGTGAGTGTAGTGTGTCAGAATGGTATATATTTATACTTCTCATCCAACCACAATTAAATTCACTCTATCCAGGAGACACAGTTTATCAGGATAGTATTTCTTAAGTAATAACAACTCGGAATAAAATAGGATTAACGACTTTCTACTTCTTACCTTTTTAAAAAAATGTAGTGAGTAGAAAGTACAGATGATTGTGTAAAAATATATTGAGTAAAAGTAAAAAGTATGCTGAAAAATAATTACTCAAGTAAAGTACAGATAACCAAAATTTCTACTTAAGTACAGTAACAAAGTATTTGTACTTAGTTACTTTACAGCTCTGGCTGGGTGCAGTTCCATGTCTAAACACTAGAGGCGCTAATGAGCCAAGCAGAAAAGTCAAGCATGTATCAAGCTAACAGAAGTATTTTTCTTTTCTTAAAATTTGAAAAATCCTGTAGAAAAAGTCTTTTAACTCACAAATTTTGGCTGCATTATCTCATATGTTGTGTGTTTCTGAGTATTTTATATATGCACTGTAAAATGCATGTAAAATTGGTAAGGAGAATTTACTGTGCAAGCTGTTTTAAAATTACATTACAAGTGTTTAAATGCGTGACTGGTAAAATATATACACCATACCAAAACCAGCGATTTGTGTGTAAGGATGCTGAATAAATACATGCCCCCCTCTATGAATATTGTGGCCCCTTGATGGCCCCTTACTCAGAAAAATCATAGATCCGCCACTTGTTATACTTCAGTACGGCGTGAGACAGTGGGTTGCAAAATTTCATACATCTTTTTCCTGACTGAGTATGAACAGGCTGAAGATGCAGCAGGGCATGAAGTATCATAAGTCCTCTCTCTGCTCTCCACAGATCATCTAAGTATTTAAACAACAATGATGGCGGAATATTGTTGGGGGGGGGGGGTTTCTTTCTTTTTTTCACTTGACAATCAGTGTTGTGTGGGTGAAGAGTCCGCAAAGGAAAAACTTTTTTGTTTGTTTTTTGTTGCTGTGGAAAAAAAGACTAGAACATCAGCTGCATGTTAACGTCTAGCTCTTTTAACAACAAACTTCAGACAAAAAAAAAACATTTTAAACAAAATAGTATGCAGAAGGAAGAGCTGCTTGGAGCCCTGCTCCTCAGCTGTGTTGCTCCTCATGAACAAACACAGCCATGAAGTTCTAACCAATCACACGCTCCGAACAGCAAGGTCCACGTCACAGAGTTCTGACTGGGGCCAATGTACTTCAGCACACTCCCGAGCCAGTAATGATGTGGCCTTTGGAGAGCTGTAATAGCAGCTTGCCAAGAACAAAATGAGTTGGTGGTTCGATTCCACCACTATTTCCTGTGCCTCTTTGCTTCTGCATCTTTAACAAAATCTGACAAGAACAGTTGCTGGAAGTATGAGTGTTAATCAGAAGTCATAAAAGCAGGGGTTAGCATTATGTGCCTTCTCATGCAGTATTAGGAGATCTCACACTCGGAATAAGTTTTTTTTTTTCTTTTAGCCACTTCAGTAGAAAACAGAACTGAATATTAGTGTCTTCATCATCTGTGACTTTTTTTTTATAAAGAACAAAAAGAAAGAGAAGAAAAAGTTCAAAATTCATAGAGGGGCCAAGTCTTTGTTCAACATCCTTCCACACAAATTCCCAGTGTATACATTTTACACTTCAAACATTTGTAATGTAATCCATCCATCCATCCATTTTCTGTACACGCTTCTTCCTTTTCAGGGTTGCGTGGGTCACTGGTGCCCATATCCAGCAGTCACAGTGCGAGGGGCGGGGTACACCCTGGACAGGTCTCCAGTCCATCACAGGGACACACATAGAGACAAACAMYCTCTCACTCACACCTAGGGACAATTTAGAGTTATCAATTAACCTAACAGTCATGTTTTTGGTCTGTGGGAGGAAGCCGGAGTGCCCGGAGTGAACCCACACATGCACGGAGAGAACATGCAAACTCTACCCAGAAAGGTCCCCGGACCGGGATTTGAACCAGTGACCTTCTTGCTGAGAGGCGTCAGCTCTACCAACTGAGCCACCATGCCGCCTTGTAATGTAATGTCATTTTTAAAAAAAAGGTACCACTTTACAATAAGGCCTCCCTTATTGATGGCTTTTAAAGAGTTTATAGATAGGTTATTAATTTAACAAGTGTTTATTATGCAATAATTAAGGACAAGAACAATACAAAATTGTCCAGTTTCATTTATTAATGATTGATGAAGTGTAAATTTTACAAATGAATTAATAACCTGTCTATAGACTCTTTATGAACCATCTATAAGGGGAAATTGATTGTAAAGTGGTACCAACAATCTTGCACAGTAAATTCTCCTCACCAGTTTTTCATACATTTTACTTTACATAGATAAAATATTTTCAAACACACAACATGGGAGAAAATACACACATCATTTGTCAGCTGAAAGACTTTTTTACAGGATTGTTCACATTTTAAGAAGAGAAGAAGAATTCTGTCAGCTTGATTCTTTCTGGACTTTAACATTTGACTCATTAGCACAACTAGTGTTTGAACATGAAACTGCATCCACCATCATCACCCCCAGGTAAAAGACAGATGAGTGACAGGACAGGGGCACTTCAGTGGGCCAATCAGATTTCAGCTGGGACCAATGCCCCTGTAGCCCCGCCCCTAGAACCGCCCCTGCTCCAGTAGTTCATGAAACATTTTGTTAACAGACTCATCAACACACACACACTCACACAGACATGGGTAAAAAGCTTTTTGGTTTATAAAATTGGGCAAAAATGAGCACACACTCAGGAATCATAGGCCTAAAGCAGAGGAGCCCAAAGTGGAGCCCGCAGGCCAAATTTGGCCCACCAACTGTTGCCAAAGTTACAAGGTTGTAACCTGTTATCCTATAGGTAGAAACACAGTGTTTCCACTGGTCAAGTGACTATATAAAAGGGCTGTAGTGAAGGTAGTTTTCAGCCATATCTTTGATTTATTAGGATTAAACAAAAAATATGAAACGACAACAAGAAATATTTAGATCAGATTTAACCCCGCATGTAGATTTGCACACTTTATAAGGCCACAAAAACTCATATTTTATCAATTTATGCTATGTCCCATGAGCCTTTGCTACTTGAGCGTATGGCAGACTTTCTCCAAGTGCCCAGACTAAAACAAAATAGGGCCATTGCACAGGTTAATGGTTAAAAATAAAAGACTTTAAAAAAGTATTTGTATTTCATGTATAATATAACTGCATTTGGCCCGCAGCCTTGGATAGATTTTCATTTTGGCCCCCTCGGGGAAAATGTTTGGGCACCCCTGGCCTAAAGTGACACCAGCATCACTACCCAACAACAATAATGTGACAGAAAGCTTTCAGATTGTGTTTAATCCCAGCCCAGGAGCCGTGGGGCAGACATGTGCAGGACTTTAGTCCCTGGACCTGGCTTTAGTGGCAGATCCAAGAGTCAGATGTTTTACTCACAAAGCTGCACTGATCTTATGTTGTTACTTTTTATGTAGAAAAATGAGCCCTTTGTTTCTGTAAGAACAGCTTATACTACTGCCCACCACCAAGAAAATTACTTGAGGGTCATTCTTATCACACACTCCAAGTGATAACTGATAACTCAATATCTGATTTTAACATTTTAAC